CCTCTGGCGGGGAGCTCGGTCCACCCGGCACTTGCCAGCACTGCTCACGACGGCCGGCCTCGTGGGGACTCCCAGCCCACATGCCTGCCCCGCGTGGCCCCAGGGAGCCACATTGTACTTTTCCCAGTTCACCAGAGGGGAAGTCAAGGCATAGAGCAGCCAGCTGTCAGGGAAGCACTGTGCAATGTGGGGTCATGGGAAGGGCAGCCGGGCCAGAGGGGCTGTTGAGGGACCTAGTTCCTGTCTGTGGCCCTGACAAGGACCACCTTGGTAACTCAGACAGGAGGCTAACTCACAGCCCAGAGACCTCAAGTCTAGCCTGGGTCTCTGGGTGACCACTGAGGCATGGGTGGGCTGGCTCCTCCCGGTCTCTGGGGTCCTCCTGCACCCTCTAGAGCCATCCACATTCCTGAACCGAGTTGCTGTCTCTGTGTACTTGGCCGTACTATCCTCACAGCCAACCGAGTACCGTCCTCACAGCTCATGTACTGTTCTCACAGCCAACCTAGTACTATCCTCACAGCCCACCGAGTTCTGTCCTCAAGCCCACTGAGTACTGTCCTCACAGCACACATACTGTTCTCACAGCCAACCGAGTACTGTCCTCACAGCTCATGTACTGTTCTCACAGCCAACCGAGTACCATCCTCACAGCCCACCGAGTACTGTTCTCACAGCCCACTGAGTACTGTCCTCACAGCCCACTGAGTACTGTCCTCACAACCCACATACTGTTCTCACAGCCAACTGAGTACCGTCCTCACAGCCCACCAAGTACTGTCCTCACAGCACACTGAATACTGTCCTCACAGCCAACTGAGTACCATCCTCACAGCCCACTGAGTACTGTACTCACAGCACACTGAATACTGTCCTCACAGCCAACCGAGTACCGTCCTCACAGTCCACCGAGTACTGTCCTCACAGCACACATACTGTTCTCACAGCCAACCGAGTACCGTCCTCACAGTCCACCGAGTACTGTCCTCACAGCACACATACTGTTCTCACAGCCAACCGAGTACCGTCCTCACAGTCCACCGAGTACTGTCCTCACAGCACACATACTGTTCTCACAGCCAACCGAGTACTGTCCTCACAGCTCATGTACTGTTCTCACAGCCAACCTAGTACTATCCTCACAGCCCACCGAGTTCTGTCCTCAAGCCCACTGAGTACTGTCCTCACAGCACACATACTGTTCTCACAGCCAACCGACTACTGTCCTCACAGCTCATGTACTGTTCTCACAGCCAACCGAGTACCATCCTCACAGCCCACCGAGTACTGTCCTCACAGCCCACTGAGTACTGTCCTCACAGCACACATACTGTTCTCACAGACCACTGAGTATGGTCCTCACAGTCCGCCAAGTACTGTCCTCACAGCCCACCGAGTACAGTCCTCACAGCCCACCAAGTACTGTCCTCACAGACAACTGAGTACTGTCCTCATAACCCACATACTGTTCTCACAGACCACTGAGTACTGTCCTCACAGCCCACATACTGTTCTCACAGCCAACTGAGTACTGTCCTCACAGCCTACTGAGTACTGTCCTTGCAGCCTGCTGAGTACAATCCTCACAGCCCGCCAAGTACTGTCCTCACAGCCAACTGAGTACTGTCCTCATAGCCCACATACTGTTCTCACAGACCACTGAGTACTGTCCTCACAGCCCACATACTGTTCTCACAGCCCACTGAATACTGTCCTCACAAACAACCAAGTACTGTCCTCACAGCGCGCTGAAGACCATCCTCACAGCCCACCAAGTACTGTTCTCACAGCCCACATAATATCTTCCCAGCCCACATACTATCCTCACAGTCCACTGAGTACTGTCCACACGGCCCACTGAGTAGTATCCTCATAGTCCGGGACTCAAACTGTAGTCCACTACATGGGAGTCCAGTGACATAGCCATTACGCCAACTACTGGTCCCCCTTATCAATTTTCTGTTTTATTTTTTTAAGAGAGATTTTTGCAGGGATAAGCAGACAACATGGTGGTTAGGGCATTGGACACTCCCATGTGGCTGACCAGAGTTCAAGTCCCAGACCTGGCAGCTTGCTTTCTCACTTTCCCTCTGTGTGTGTCTGGTCAAATTAAAATAAGTGAATGAATAAAATTAAATAATTTTTTTAAAAAAAGAGAGATTTTTGTTATAGGGCACATGTGCTCAAGAGAAAGAGACAGAGACAGAGGATCAGAAAACAAGAAATCACCCCCCTTAGAATACGCTTCCTGGCTATTGGAGACCAGGCTGGAAGCAGCCCAGGTCTCGGCCCTCTCTGATACCAGCATAGTCAGGGGGCCCAGGCCCCTCAGGTTCAGTAACCGTCAGGACTCCCACGCTCTTGAGATGCTGTTCTCATGGTTACGGCCTATATAGATGGAGATGCAGGCTGAAGTCAGCCCAGGGAAAACACAGGCACAGTCCACAGGGTCCAGCATGAAACTCCAGTGTCCTACCCCTGGCAGTGATGTGTGTCAATGGCCACTCCATGCCCAGGGACGCCCCAGCCTGGAGTCTGGAGTACTCTCTGGGCTCTGCTGCTAGGGCCCGGCCACCTGCCCACACGTCTGCAGCCCTGTAGGGCAGGAGCTGACACCATGAAGCCTGGAACCCCTACCCTCCCCTGATCACATCATTAGACCAGGGTGTGGCCAAGGAACCCAAGGGTAAGCAGGGACATTCGTGTCTGGCAGGACGTTCCAAGGGTGCAGACGGTCTCTGGGAGCCAGGCACCTCTTTGGGGTCTGTTCTTCACAAATGTTACCCTAAACAATCTTCAGTGTGGCTCTCAGTCCACCGAGGCCCTTCTTCATGGCCTTCTCCATGCATCTGGGCCCCTCAGCCCAGGATGTGGGCCTGACCACATTCCTTGCATGGATGTTGGTGGAAGCAAGAACTCCTTTCTGGGCTCAGTTGACAACTATCCATGCTCCTCCCATCGTGTACCCCTTCAAGTTGGCAGTGGTGGAGCCCCACTAGGACGGCCGATGGAGACTGCACACATACTGTTCACAGCACACATACTGTTGTGTGCAGTCTCCATCCCGGGTGGCAGCGGCTCATGGGAGGTCCTGAGTACCTGGTAGAGCCCACCCAGCAGGCTGCTTCAGGTGCTGGGTCTTCATTCCAGCAGCCTGATTGGCACCGACTGCCCCTTGCTTAGCCCCCAGAGACCACAGCCTGCACTCTACAGTGACCTGATGGGACACGGCCTTGGGGACAAGTGGGTAACATCTGAGTACCAGCGAGCTGAACCAGGGATGCCTGTTCACCTCGGCAACAGCTCTTGAGGCAGGCTTGATTAGGGAATGATGATCCAACAGTGGTGGCCCTGGAGTTTGAGTCCCTGTTCTCCCAACTCTGGGAGCCCACAGATAGGCCTGTGGCATGAGCCTGGGGCTTCCTGGGCATCCCTCCTCCAGGCGTCATAGTGCCCCCAACCTGAGGCAAGCCGTGGTGTCTGCACCTTGTAGGGTGGCACTCAGACCTCAGGATCGATGACGCCTGGGTGGGCAGAGCAGTGCAGGGACAAGGCATGGCGGAGTGTCCCGTGCTGGACTCAGGCTCCAGGATCCGGGACATCTGGGCCCTTGGGCCCCACGCCAGCCTGCTTGACCACCAGCCTCTTGTCTTGAGAACAGAGAGAGGCAGAGCTGCTCTGGCGTTCCTAGGGGTCCCACGCGCCGGCTGCTCCAGTGTCGAGTGCAAGGAGTGACTTCAGTAAGGGAAAGCACATCTCTGGCTTGCAGCCCTCCCTGAGTGCCATAATGCTTCTCCGGGAGTAATTACCGCCTCCCAGGCGGTGCAGCCCAGCCTCCTGTTCCTGCGGCTTCCTCTACCTATCTTGCCGACAATGGTGTCATTATTAGACGAAATAAAAGGGAAGAATAGGTGGAGGCGGCCCTTTCATCGTGGAGTGCCTGCGCAGAGGGTGACGACACTTCCTGGCAGCGGGTGGCTCTCTCCACAGTCTTGTTTCCTGCCCTCCGAGTGGGCATGCTCATCCAGAAGCTGTGCCTGGCCGAACAGGCACCTCGAAGCCCAGCAAGCCCATCTGCGGGGTGGACCCATGCCTGCGATGGGCAACAGGGAAGGCCCTGCTGACAGTCACGGAGCCGTGACACTCGTCTGCGCTCAGACCGTGAGCAAGGCGTGACCCTGAGGGGTTTGGGTAGGGCCAGCTGCAGGCCACAGAGCAGAGCATGGCCACGCCAGAGAGAAAGGCTGTCCCTGCCTGCAGCCCAGAGTCCGGCCTGGCCATGCCACAGGGCCTCTCCAGCTCCTGCCCAGCCTACTGGCCGCTGGTCACTGACTGGCCCGGTTCTGAACCCCAGTTCTCTCCTTCCCTGTGGGGAGCCTGGCATCCTCCGCAGAGGCCAGACCTGACCCTGCCCCCCTAGACCCTCTAGTCCCCTCCTTCCTGAGTTCTCGAGCCACCAGCAGTGGCACCAAGACATGGCCCTGTTTGCAGATGTGAAAACTGAGGCTCGGAGACCAAGTTCGTGACTCTGTCACCAGGACCAGCCCAGATCCCCTTCAGAGAAGGGTGGTGGCCAAACCCTGGCAAAGCAGTGCCCGGGCCACCCAGGTACACACAGCACACCTGGCAATGGAGGCTGAGCCTCCACTCTGCATAACAAGGGCACCACAGCCACTGCCACTCCCTCGCCAGCTGCCTCAGGACAAGAAGGTCCAGGCCCTGGGTGAAGCTGCCTTGTGGGGTGACAAGGCCGTGCCCCTCAGGCCCCAGACCCCTCACTGCACCCGTGGGGGCTCCTGGGGTACTCTTTATACCAGGAGTCTCCCATTGCAACTGTGCCCCAACCCAGCACAGCCTAAGCCCCTGAAACAGCAGCAGAACACTCCAGCAGGTTTCAACATTTTATTAAGAAAATCTTACAAAAAGTCTGTCTTGGGGATAGAGTGGCAGGGCTGCACCTGGCCTGGCCGGGCCTTCAGGGCCTGGTCTATGTATGTGTATGTTGGGGGGTAGCCACACTCTCTTGCAGTTCCCGGGGTCTCCCCAAGCCCCAGGGCCTCCTGCAGCCTGTGCCAGACTGTGGGTATGGGCTATGGCGTGTATGCAAAATAGAATTTGGGCACTGGCAGGGCACAGGTCAGGACTGCCCAAGTCAGCTACAGAGCTGGCCTCCCATCTGGGACCACTGGGGGGCCGGGCAGAGACGCCCCACCAGGGCCTGCCAGCCCCAACTGTAGGTGTTGGGGGTGGGGCAGGCAGGCCAGAGCTGGGCAGGACACCCATGCACCCAGGAGCCTAGGAGCAAAGGCTCTGGGACCTCCTGGGGCTAGTGAGGGGCACGGCAGTAACACGAGCTGTGGCCTCAGCCACAGGACTCAGGAATGGCTCCAGCCACAGACAACAGCTGCATGGCGGGCAGGGGCTGCTGCGCTGGGAGAGGGGCCAGAACCAGGGCCGCTGAACCCTGATACAGCTGCAATGGACCCAGGGACAGCTGGCATGTGGTGGGCAGGCACTGTGGCAGGCCCTGGCCCTCGTGGTGGCCCGTCTTCACCAGCTCTACCCTGAGCTGGGGCGCGGCGCTTGCCTGGAGCCTCTTCCGCAGCCCCTCTGGCTCCTGAGACCCTCCTGTAGGCAGCTGTCAGAAGGAGGGGTGGGGCACAGCAGCAGCAACGCAGAGCCTTGAGACCTGAGCAGGGAAGAGACAGGAGGTCAGGGCAGGGCCCACAGCAACCAGGGCTCCACGAGACCTGGGGCAGGAGGGCCTGGGGGTAAGTGATTAGGTGGGCTGAGGCCTCTTGGGAGGCCCAGACTGGACAGGGCCTGGAGCTTGGGGGCTGGGGGCGCTGGGTCTCAGTCAGGGCACTGAGAACCCGGCCTTACCTGTTGTGGCTCTCCTGCTCTGAGGGTGGGCGCTGGCTGCCGCCTCAGCCAGACTGGAGGGCTTGGCCCCTCTGGGACCCTCTGCCCGCGGTGGCTGAGTCATCGCGCCGCTCTGATCCTTCTCCCG